TCACGAAAGAAAAGCCAAAAGGCCACTTCCGTCCGGATAAAATTAAATTAGTGCCAGTCTCTCTCGGTTTGAAATTGGGCAATGGTTAAACGAAATATATTTATATATGTAGTAAAGTCTACGAAAGCGTGACGAAGCGTGACATATAATTTTAGAACAACATTGATTACACAATAATAACCGGTAATATGATCTTTGTCTGATCCTTGGTTAAGTAGGCGTGAAACTATTTGAGTACGTGTCGCTATGTCGTAAATCCCAAATTATCCCAAAGGAAACTCCTTGTATCCTTTGTATTTTCTATCACGTATTAGTTAGCTACCATCATGTATATAAGGACGTTGATTCAAGCAATAAAGTAGATTCAGTTGATTGTACAGCAGTTGAGTGTGTTCCACTCCGCGAGTGTGCTCCGATAAGCCAAGAGCGAGCCCAAGCATCGCAACAGTTCGACTCTAATCAACCCTCGGCCATGTTTTTCACTACATATATATCCAGCGCATTGAAGTATCACTCTGATGATTTCAATTCCAGTCAGTCGAATTCAAGAAGTAAAGCTGTTTCGCTGTTTCATGTTGCCTGAATTATCCTCACGGCACATTGTTCGCTATATAAAGCGGTGTTTTATTTACCAATTTGCTTTGCAAAATATAATTCTTGACCGTGTCAAGCATCCGCCTAAATATAAACTTACATAAACCTGATGCAGATGAAATATCAGCGCGGGGTTATGTCAACAAAACTGTAAATCATTTTGCACTGCTGTAAATCAAATGTAAGTCAAAATACTCGCGCGTGTGACAGAAATACTTTTTAACATCAAAAATACCGCACAAAGAAGAAAATAAATTACCTCCGAAGTCAAAGATTCAATATTTCACTTCGATTCTACACGTGACGTTTTACATGTGCTCATCGTCGAGACGTTTGTACTCCATTTGGCTGCCAAATTTCTTTGTGAGCGAAAGCATTTTCTATTTCTGAGACGGCAGAAATAATGTGGCATTCTTCATCGGCAAAATTCGACTTTGAATCCCGATAAAGCGGGTAGTTTTTAGCGACTGCTCGAGGTTTTGAAACCTACAAAGTTTGTCACAGCAACAATCAAAACACTCTGCCACTCCTCCCACCCAACAGAATTTTTACCACCCAGAGTCTGGATGGTCACGTGACACGCCGCAACCATGGAAGGCAGAGGGGAGAGAGCCTGGGAACGAGGTTGTATTGTTCTCATTTCTGAGAAATGTGTCTGGGACAGGCTTTCACTTCCTAGAAAGCCATCAAAGCCATCATACAATATTTATTCAACTGAGAAAGATGGACGATAGTGTTGTCTTCTCAATGAGGGCTTGAGTGAATAAACGCCCCTTCCGTCCTTCCCAGGGATAAAAGTTGCCTGTGTGCATTGGGGTGATCTTTTAGTATTGCAATGTTACATCTCCGCACTCTATACAAACAATCTCCTTCGAGCTAAGGGATGGGATCACTCTCGAAAAGTTTTCGTGGGCGTCACGTCTGATTTCGTGACAATCGCTCGCGGAACGCATGAGAAATGGGATACCAATCGCATTTTTCGCGCCACAAATTTACGCTCTGAATCACATCCTGGCATGTTAAAGAGGCCCTGTTAGGGGGAGGGGGGGTGGTGGTGGTGTCCATTTCCCCTGCCTGAATTTCGTGAGCGGCTATGTCTCAAGGTTCCTATTGCGCTTGTCGGAATTTCGTCTCAGAGGAGTTGTGTCGGGAAATTTGACCTTTTTCGATTGAAACAAAGCTACATGTATAATGCATCATAATATCTTTGTTCGTTTTAAGAAAAAACTGACACAGAGCTCTCAAGTCTCACGCTTTGAGTATGAGACTCACGCAAACGAATTCAATCTTACGCTCTTACGCTGAAACTATTATTTCTCTCGCATTTAAGTTTCCTTGCTGCTTTAGTCAAGTACCTACATAATTAATAGCGGAGCTCCGGCGGCCCGAAGAGCCGCTAAGCGGAGGAAAAGAAAGGAAACCATGAGTTGATTTTCTCATGGTTGTCATGGCTAGCGGTATTGCTCGTGGGCGCGTACGCACGACGGCGACGACGACGACGACGACGGAGTCGC